TAGCAGCTTGAAACTTGCACTTCTTCAGACTAGAATTGAATGGGCTATAAAACTGCATACCAGAATTTTCTCTGAAGATTCTGATTAAAAAGTTTGATACTTTGGTGAAAATTTACAGAATTTTAATAATTTTTGTACAAAGGTTGAAATCTGAATTTATTCGTTGTTTGTTGTATACCCAGCTTGACTTTTGTATAAAAATAATAAACATTAAATAAACAAAAGACAAATAGCAAAAACTGACCAAAATAACGCACTCCTATTATTTTGTGGACCACTGTATATACATATGCTTTATACATAGTATAAAGGGGAAACAAAATTAGCACAGTTTAAATACATACAAGTAAATATGCAGCTCAATTGAGTATGAAAATTTCAGTGTGATCAGATAACGTTATTCATATTGATTTTGATAAACATATTTTATGTTGCTGGCTTATCCGCTGCTGCTCCGAACATCCTCCCCCCGTTGAAAGGTCAGGGTTTTCAACAGAATCCTTCACCGGGAGGACACACAGCTTGTTCACGGCTCGTCGCGTTATGCCGCTAGATGTTTTGAAAAGTGCCACACGTACGATACCGTCTGCTCCAGGGACAACTTCGATTACCCGTGCTAGAGGCCACTTCAATGGTGGTGAGTTTTCTTCCTTTATGCATACGACATCATTGACTTGAATGTTGGCATGAGGTAAACGCCACTTTGCGCGTTGCTGTAGAAGAGTTAGATACTCTTGAGTCCACCGCTTCCAAAAAACCTGTTTAATGTATGTTGCCATCGATCAAGTCGGTCGTAGTTTAGCGTCGTTAGATCCGGTTCCGGAAGAGCTGTCAGAGAACCACCAATCAAAAAATGGCCTGGCGTTAGCACATCTAAATCCTCTGGGTTTTCTGAAAGGGTCTCGTACCCCGTAACGAGAGTTAATTACAGCACAGATTTGACATACCAAAGTACGCAATTCATCGAAGCCAAGCAGTGATGAGCCAACGGAACGATAGAAATGTTGTTTGGCTGTTTTTACGGCCGCTTCCCACAAACCGCCAAATTGCGGAGAGCGAGGTGGGATGAAACGCCAATCAAAGCCATTACTGAGGCAAAAGTTGTGGACTTCGCTGCGGTGTTTCTCGCTGAGGGCTAAGTTCCGTAGTTCTTTGAGCTCGTTCTTGGCGCCTACAAAATTCGTCGCATTGTCAGACCAGATGCAGCTGGGTATGCCACGCGTAGCGATGAATCGTTTTAGCGCGTCAATGAAAGCACCTGTTGAGAGGTCTCTTACCAACTCCATCCATACAGCCTTTGTGGCGAAGCAAATGAAAACGCTTACATAACATTTGTGGGGCGATTTATTGCGTACTTCAGGCTTGTAATAAAATGGCCCACAGTAGTCCACACCGGTGACTATGAATGGGCGCGAGGCCTGAATTCGCTCTTTAGGCAGGTCGGCCATTATGTGCTCGACAAGGCGCGGTCTCAATTTGCAGCAAATAATGCATTTTTGTAGGACTCGAGTGACTGTTTTCCGACCACCTATGGGCCAAAACTGCATTCGAATGAAGGCGAGTAAAGCTTGAGGACCTGCGTGATGTTGTTTGCGATGAAAAAAGGTTATTATACTAAATGTCAGTGGATGATCCTTCGGAATAATGCATGGGTGGCGCGATTCAAAACTAAGCATAGAGTTTTTTAATCGCCCGCCGACTCTAATAATTCCAAAGTCATCAAGAAATGGTGATAGCGAAACAATGCTGCTCGAACTCGGGACGCAATTATTGGCCTGTAATGCCGTGTACTCCGGCCAAAGTTGCGCTCTTTGTACTAAGCGAATAAGCAGTTGAGTTCCATGGTGAATATCTGCGGCTGTGAGCTGCGAAGAGCTTGGCGATGTTGTAATATTGACAAATTTGCTGACGTACCCAAAAATGCGCTGCATTGTTCCAAATGAATTAATGTACTTGAACGAAAGCGAAATGTCATTGCGGTTATGTGCGGCAAGCAACACCTTTTGTCGAAGTTCTGGAAGTTTTGGTTGTGGTAGACACATGCGCGGCCAGCTGCCCTCCACTTCTCGCAAAAATGACGGGCCGTGCATCCAAAGTGAAGATCCTAGAAGTTCCTGCGGGGTAGCTCCTTTGGATAAAATGTCCGCCGGATTCATTGCTGTCGGAACATAGTGCCACCGCATGCCCTCCGTTAATTGATGTATGGTGGAAATTCGGTTAGCGACAAATACGTTAAATTTCGATGGTTCTTCTCGCAGCCACGAGAGGACAGTGGAGGAGTCTGACCAACAATGAAATGAACAGTTAAAAAGCTTAATTTTTGTAAACTCACCCATGAGTTGTGCAAGCAGTGTTGCTGCACAGAGTTCCAGCTTGGGCACGGTGATAGTCTTCAGTGGAGCGACACGGGCCTTCGAACACAACAGGTGCACTTGTACCTTACTATCCTTGGCTGAACGCGTATAAACGCAAGCCCCATAAGCTTCAAGGCTTGCATCGCAAAATGCATGAATTTCTGTAATGGCCCCAGGTTGCAAGACGTAACGAGGAAATGATAGGTGCTGTATGTCTGCAAACCCGCTGCAAAAGGCAGACCAGGCGGTGTTTAACGATTGCGGTAGACTCTCATCCCACTCAAGCTTGTCTCTCCACATGCGTTGCAGAAGAATCTTCGCCTTGGTCAGCGTAGGGCCCATTAGTCCAAGGGGATCGTAACAGCGAGCTAGAGTAGACAACGCAGAGCGTTTTGAGTTTTTACCGAGTTCTCGTTGTGGCACAAACGAAAATAGCAGCTTGTCCTTGACCGGATCCCAAACTAGTCCCAGAGCTTTGGTGATGTCACTGCCATCGTCAAACTTAAGGAAACGTTCCTTGTCTACGTCAGGTATATCACGAAGGATATCTGGACTATTAGAGCACCACTTGCGTAACTTAAAGTTTCCTCGAGCAAGGAGGCTAGTTGTTTGTAGCTTGATATTCAGTACTTCTTCCATCGAATCGCCTCCAGATATCAAGTCATCTACGTAGAAGTCTCGACGCACTATTTCTGCACCAATGGGATAAGTCGAGGATTCGTCAGCTGCGAGTTGGTGCATTGCACGTATGGCCAGAAATGACGCAGGCTTAGTTCCATAAGTCAGCGTGTCTAACTTATAGATGGCAAAGTTTTCCTGAGGAGATTCACGCCACAATATGCATTGGAGCATGCTATCTGGTGGGGTGACGCGAACACACCTATACATCTTACAGATGTCCCCAGTAAGTGCTATGGGAAAAGTACGAAATCTAATAAGGATATTAAAAAGTTTCGGCTGAATAGTTGGGCCTGCCATGAGTAGGTCGTTCAGCGAAAAGCCCGAAGTAGTGGATGCAGAGCCATCAAAAACCACTCTCAGCTTTGTTGTGCTACTGTCATCCTTGATGACGCAATGATGCGGCAGAAAATACTTGCATTGTTGAAAAACCTCATTGGTAACTAGCGACATGTGATTAAGGTCCAGATATTCCTTTATGAACTTACTATATTCTGTTTTAAGCTCAGGGTTACGAGCGAATTTTCGTTCAAGACTTTCGAAGCGTTGACGAGCTTGCAAATAGGAGTCTCCAAGGGCCTCCACACCACGCTTCATGGGAAGACGAACTGAGTATTCGCCTGATGACAATCGCAAATAATTTTCCCGGAAGTGGGCTTCGCAGTCGATATCTTCTTGGGAGGCCTTAGAGATCGGCTCGAAGTTGTGCTCTATTTCCCAGAACTGACGCACTAAATCTTCCAACCGAGTGGAAATAATATCACTGGAGGACTTCCGTCGCACCACAAAAGATGATAGTTTTGGAGCTTGTTGCCCCCCTCCAGATAGCACCCAACCGAGGCGTGTTTTCTGAAGGAGTGGTAAACCATATGCCAAGCGTATCTGCCCCACACATAGCAGATCGAAGAACAATGCTGCTCCAATGAGCAGATCAATTCGCTGCGGTAAGTTGAACCCAGGATCAGCTAGTTGTATATTCGACGGAACATTCCACTCGTTGGTGCTCACGGAGCAGCCAGGCTGGTTATCGGTTATGGTTTGCACAACAACAGCTGTTATGTTTGTTGAGAAATCTGAAGTCCCCGACTTCAGTACGAGGTCGACTGAGTAACCCTCCGTTGAGAAATTGGCATCTCCAATGCCAGATACTGTAGCAGAAGATTTTGCTTTTACAAGCTGCAATTGGTTTGCAAGGCGAGTTGTGACAAAGTGTAACTGGGAGCCAGAATCTAAAAGCGCCCTGCAAGGCACGAAGCTTCCAGCACGATTTTTTACCAGAACGACGGCAGTAGCTAGGAACACAGCATCAGAAGGAGATACTGGGGCACTAGGCGACACAGATAACGATGCAGTCATAGCGTTGGATTGAACTGTAGCTGCCGACGAAGCTTCGGCTTGACTATTGATTAACGATGCAGTTGAGCGTTCGAAATGCAAGAGCGTGTGGTGTTTCGACTGACAGGCGCGGCACGATCCGGATTTGCAGTCACGAATTTGATGCCCAGTCTTTAGGCAGTTAAGACAAAGGGAAAGCTTCTTAACTTCCCTCAGGCGTAAGTTCGGAGACAAATTTGCGAAGCGTTGACAGCTATAAATTGCATGCTCGGCAGATCCACAAAACACACAAACACCTTTTGAGCCGTTGGAAGCAACAAAGGATTTCCTCTGACCAGTACTCACGTTCTTGTTAGCTTTTACCGCCTGACCAGTCGGTGTCTGCATAGAATGCTCAACGTTCTCGAGTGCTCTGCAGCGCTTCTCCAAGAACATAGCTAATTGATCCCAGGATAGCAGTTCGCTGATCGATGAACTCTCCTCCCATTTAGCCTGCGTCTTTTTGTCGAATTTCTGGATCACCAATTGTACGATGATGCGACTGCAATGCGCGTATGTGTGCTGTGACCTTATCTGTCAGCTCTCGTAGCTTGGTTACGTTTGAATCTGCCCTCTCTAGCCCAAATATCTCCCTGACGTGTGCCTGAAATATAAGACGTTTGTTATCGAAGCGCTTTTGTAAAAGATCTAATGCAGTGTTATAATTAGCGTCGTTTATTTCCAGCGAGCGCACGGTGTCAAGGGCAGCGCCGCTCAGACAGGAACGAAGATGCTGCAATTTGTCGATGTTGGTGAGGTCGCTGTCCTTGTCGATTATTGACGTGAACATTGAATAGAAATTTGTCCACTCGGTGTAGGCGCCACTGAATTTAGGCAGTGTCAGCAATGGCAAGCCTGAGCTATTACCGTTCACAATGATTGATTGGGTCTCACTGGAGTTCATTCTGAGCGTGGAGCAATGTTGCGAGGCACTACGTTTACCAATCTCGCGTTGCAGTGTAGCTCTAAGGTTGATTAGAGCAGCATCGAAGTTACTTGGCAGGTCGCTGGCAATGGAGTCGAAGTCCAATTCCTCTAGGCTTGTGTGTGCGGCAGAAAAACTGGATTTCAATTCGCCTAAGGATTCTAGCATTGCTGAAAGACTGTACTCATCCATACTGTGTAGCTTGTCTGCGTCCAACTCGTTAATCAAGCTCTCCAGTCTGCTGAATATGGCCTTTGTTTTCAGCTTTAGAAAGGCTACTCGATCTGCACCTTCCCCTGGCATGACGAAGTTGCTGACGTTTACACTAGTGTGGCAGAATTATCTCAGTAAGCGGCCGGAAACAAACGAAAAATCGCGTGATACGATCACGTCGGGGTCACCAAATGTTGAGCTACTAAGCC